AAAAATTTTATGTAATGAAGTTAATTCTTTAGGCACCCAAATAGAAAAGAATTTTAATTTCTTTTTACATATATCATCATTTATATTACAAGAAGATTTTACAAAAATGGTTTTCTTAGATACATTTCTATTAACTTGAAAACCTAAACCTTTTGTCTTTTGAGATTCTTTTTGAAAAGAAAGTATTTTATTATGATTTTCTTTACCTTTATTGAATTTACTAACATTTAAACATATATCATTATATTTTAATTTAATAGAAGAAATATATTTATCTAAACTATTAATGTGAATATTTAAATTATTACATTCTGATTTTAGATAAATATTCTCATTGGATAAACATTGATTTTCTTTAAGCAAGAAATAATTTTCTTCTTTCAAATTAATTACATAAGAGTTAGAATTTGTAGATGAATTAAAATTTGAAATTTCTTCAAGTAATCTTTTATTTTCTCCTTTAACAAAATTATGTGAAGCCTTTAATCTCAAAAAAGTTTCATATAATTCATTAAAAGTATCTAAAAGTTCTTCATTGTCACTTACTTCATCTTGTGCCATAAAGCACATATGAGCACTTTCCTTTTCTTCAATTTCTTCATCCGAATATGAAACATCACTATCATCCCAAGTAACCGTCATGGCTTTCCTTTTCTTGTTGTTTTGAATATTGTTGAAGTTGTTGAAATAATTTGATTTTTGCTTACTCTTCAGCAATGGACAATCTTTCTTCATATGCCCTGGTTTATTACACTTGAAACAAAGTAAGTTATATGAATTTGAACTTTTTAATTTGTACTTACCTTGTTTTATGAATTTTTGAAATTTATGTGCAAACATGCTCATTTCTTCATCATCATCCGAATCTTCTTTATCGCAAGTAATATTGAATACAAGCACTTTCTTGTTCTTTGTTTCATCATCATTCTTTCTATCTTTAATTTGAACTTCATAAGCCATGAGATTTTTGATAAGATTCTCAACCGTAAAAATTGACAAATCATTTGCTTCTTCGATTACGGTAACCTTCTTTTCCCATTGTGGAGTGAGTGATCGGAGTATTTTTCTTACCATCTCCACTTGAGTGTATGTTTTTCCAAGACCAATGAGAGAATTTGTAATGTCGGTGAATCTTGTGAACATTTCTCCAATTGTCTTATTTTCCTTCATCTTAAATAATTCGAATCTGTGTACAAGAACAGAAATTTTAGATTCTTTAACCTTATTTATACCTTCATGAGTTACCTCAAGTGTGTGCCAAATATCGTATGCAGATGAGGTCGTTAACACTCTATTAAACTCATTCTTGTCAAGTGCACAGAACAAAATGTTCATTGCTTTAGATTCCAAATTTGCATTATTTCTTTGTGAAGTAGTTCATTCTGAAAATGGAGTTGATGGCTTCACAAATCTTGTTTCCACAATGTTCCAAAGTTCATATCCAATTGATTGAAGGTAAATCTTCATTCGGTACTTCTAATAGTTGTAGTTCAATCCATCGAACATTGGTTGACGATTTGTAGAATGAACTTCTTTGAATTGTGATGTATTTGTTGATGCCATCTTTTACCTTGCTTTGATACCAAATGTAGGATCTGAAATAGATACACTAGAACACTAGAGGGGGGATGAATAGTATTCTTTTAAAAATTATGCAAAGTAGATTATAAATTGCAAAGAAAGAATGGCAATAATATCATAAAATCACAATCACAAATAAGAGTTTTTATACCGGTTCAACCAATCTGGTGTACATCCAGTCCCCAAGCAAATCCCGCTTGAGATTTCCACTATAATTTTAAATTAAGTATAAAATTAAAATCAAACCTGACCAATTTGCAAGTCCCTCAAAATTGTAATATTAATTGACAGCCCTTGCCAATTGCACACTGATCTCTAGACCAAGAGATCAACCTCTCTCAAACCGAGAGAACTTTCCTTAAATTAAACAACTCAATTCCTATAAGCCTTGATTTGAAGTGTTGTGTAGCAGTGGCTTAGGAATAATTTTAACCTCTGGAAATTGCCTAAATAATATGTATTTTGAATGATGATCAAAGTCAATTTCAGTAAAGATATTTTTCTCAAAACTTACTGAAATCTGAATTTTTTGACTTTTGAAAAATGCACAAAGAATGAAGTTTATGGGTATAGAATCACGTGTCATTTTTCTGAACATACAACCTTTATATAGCCCTTGAAAAGACAAAATTTAAACTTCAAAACGTTTGAAAAACGGCTAAAAACTGTCACAAGTTTAAATTCAAACGTTCAGAAAAAACTATCTTAGTAGTCGACTATAATGCATAGTAGTCGACTCACAAGTTTAAATTCAAACGTTCAGAAAAAACTATCTTAGTAGTCGACTATAATGCATAGTAGTCGACTACTCTGTAATACAGAAAGTCTGGAAAACAAAAATTCAAAGATCAGTAGTCGACTATAATTGTTAGTGGTCGACTACACTGTAAAATAAACGTTTTGTAAAACAATTTTCAAACCTCAGTAGTCGACTATATTTACTTGAAGTCGACTGTAAAATTGAAGTTCTGTAAATCAAAATTCAAAGCTGAGTAGTCGACTATAATTCTTAGTAGTCAACTACTCTGTAGTTTCATAGAAACTTATATCTTGAACTAAGACTACAGTAGTCGACTATTATTCTTATTAGTCAACTACTAAAGAGTAAAAATGTTATGTATGAACTATTTTTAGACTTAATGATAAACTAAATACTCTAATGGTTAACATAGGGGATTTCTATTGTTAACCAACACACTAAGCCTGTGTTAGTGTGTTCTAATTTCTATGTGTGTGTGTGTGAGTGATCGAGGCTTGTACAAAAATTCTAAGTAAAGATAAATATAAAAATTACATTGATGTATTTGTTCTTCATCTTCTTTACTTCATAATGCCTTAAACTCATATTACACTTGTTCATATTTGATGTTGAAAGCTGTATTTAAATGTTAGTGCATATGTATAACACACATAGTGATTCACTTGTTCATATTTGATGTTGAAAGCTGTATTTAAATGTTAGTGCATATGTATAACACACATAGTGATTCTCAATATGAATAAATTGTTATCATCACATATGTATAACACACATAGTGATTCTCAATATGAATAAATTGTTATCATCAAAATTATATCATGGGGATATGATATCCAACACCACTTGCATGCAACTGAGACATTGCAACTCTTCTTACATGCAACTATAATTGCAATTGTTAGTTCACAATTTAAATTTTGTAACTTGTAGTTACAGTTGTTTGATTTTACTTGTAACTTTACATGTGTAACTTATTTTCCTACATTAATAAAATTATTAAAGTTATTAACTCTTTTCACACTTCTAAAAAAAATTATTTTTTAAAAAATAATGGTTTTTATTATTAAGTAAATTGACTTTTAAATTTTGAAAAATCATAAGATAATATTTTTAAAATAATATTTTATTAAAATAAATATTTTTTACATGTAACTTATTTTCCTACATTAATAAAATTATTAAAGTTATTAACTCTTTTCACACTTCTAAAAAAATTTATTTTTTAAAAAATAATGGTTTTTATTATTAAGTAAATTGACTTTTAAATTTTGAAAAATCATAAGATAATATTTTTAAAATAATATTTTATTAGAATAAATATTTTTAAAAATAATATGTTATTATAAAATAAAATAATTTTGTACAATAACTTTTTGGTTAAATTACAATTCTTGTAAATGGATTTTATTAAAAATATTTTTTTAAAAATAAAAGTAATTTTTGAAAAATATTATTAAAATTTTTTAGAATAATTATTAACAAAGTATAATTGTATTCAAGGAAATTTTACATTTTTTAGAAATATAGTACTTCTCAATTTATTTCGCTATATATATTTTTTAAAATTACTTTTTTTCAAAGAATTTTCTAAAAAATAATACTTCTTCAAAAAAAAATTTAAGAAATATTTTTTTGGAGATGATATTTTTAAAAATTAAATATTTTAAAAAATAATATATTTTAGGAAATATATTATTTTAAAAAGTACTATATTATTTTAAGAATTAATATATATTATTTTGAAAAATAATATGTTATTATAAAAAATAATATATTACTTTAAAATAATATATTATTTAAAAGATCATATATTTTAGAAAGATAATATATTTTCAAAAATCTTTCTTAAAAAATATTTGTTGAAAAATATTATTTTATTAAAAAATAATATTTTTCTAAAGAATATGTTTTTGTTTTTAAGAATAATAATATTTTTCAAATAATTATATTTAAAAAAATTAACTTTTTGAAAAAATTATCTTATAACAATATTTTTTAAGATATTTACTTTTAGAAAAGTTATTTTCAGGAAAAATATTTTTAAATGAATTTATTTTTTGAAAAACGTTTCTGAAGAAATAATAATAATAATAATTTTGTAAACTATTTTAAATCTTTAATGAATTTTCTTTTTTGAAATATTAAGTAATGATTTTAATTTTTAATAAATTTGAGTAGGTTGCAACTGAGTTATAACTATAACTTGTAGCTATTTTTAACATAAGTCATATGTTATAACTAAAAATTATTCTATAATTATAGTTGTAATTTTAATTGCATGCTACTAGAGTTAGCCAAGCTACCAAAAGCCGCGATAACAATTCTTAAGTTACAAATGAAAAGGGAAATAACTAGGAGGACGGATATTGTATGCGAGCCCTGAGCTTTGAGCAATGCTTCAAACGAACCGCCAAAGGGTGCCACACGCGTGTACGTTGTACAGGACTCACACGGGTCTCCACCCTTTTCCTTCGCAAGATAAACCGCATTTTACATTAATTTTTGTTTTCTGAACACCAGGAAAATGAGAGAAAAATCCACAAATAGCAAAGTCATTTTCACTCTCTCTACGCTTCTCATCTCTTCCGAGAACCCAAAACAAAAAACCCATTAAGCATGAAGTCTTCAATTCATTTAGCTACTGAATGATCATTAAAAGATGATCTCTCTTCAAAGCCCAATCGCCCTCCCCAAAAACAGAAAAAAGATTGGAATTTTACAAAGAAATGGCTCAAAAGGGTTCACCGTGAAGTGTTTTGTAGAGAGACAAACTCTTTTGTTTGTGGGTTTTGAGAAAGATGGCATCTTGATGACGAGAAGAGGGAGGAAAGAGAGCTTGGTTGCGGTTAGAGCTAACCAAGGCTCTGGCTTTAATGGCGGCGGCGGCGGTTGGGACAAGGGAAGTACAAACAGGGTTTTGGGTAATCTTGCTTTGGCAGTGGGCTTGACTTATCTTTCAATGACTGGGCAGCTTGGTTGGATTATTGATGCCATTGTCTCAATCTGGGTAACCTTTCCTCTTTTATTCTCTATGTTTGAATTTAATAAATTACTGTTTTCTTAATTTCTTTGTGTAAATCTCTTGTTCTTAGGATTTGTTTGTGGGTTTTGAAAAAGATGAGATCTTGTCCTTAAGATTTGCTTCTAAATCTCACGTTTATTAGGGTTAGTTGCATGAACAAATAAGGGGGCAAAATTGGATGTGTAGTGTAGTTGTACGTAGAATGTTGCGTGTATTGCCACCAAGTTCAGAGCATGAAAAAAAGTTCTACCATGAGAGGAAATTATCAGAGAAGGCAATGGAACATAGTAAAGATAAGTAAATGAGGGTTAAAAATAACACTCTTGGACTTTATGTTGCTGTTATCTACTGTTTCACTATTAATCTACGCAGAACAATTGACTCCGTTGGTTGGATCTGTAAAATTATTTTTATTAATGTTCTTAATGTACCATGGTATAACTTGTTTTCGGTATTTAAATATTGTAAATTGAATTTGAAAATTAATAAGCACCTATTTTGTGTGGAGATCCTGCATGCACATGTTGACAAGTTGTTTAATCTTTTGTTGCTAGTATATCATGCTTTTGCATGCTTCAACAGACTTGTATATGCCTCTGAGCCTCTTAGTTCAAGCTAAGAGGTTCTTTTGCACCAAGCAACACTGCAATTGTATATTACAGTAAATATTGAAGTGATGATATCTACATGTTGTGTTTTAAAGTCGGAAAAGATCCACAAAATTTTATCTGCATAAGCAACCTCCTATTGGTGGCAAAAGGAACTATACTTGTTACTGACTGACTATATTATCGCCATTATTCAAATAGTTTGTTGTATTTTGAAATGGCCATTATTAAGTATAGTTTGAGTTAAGATACTCTTTTTTTAGCAGCGTACATGGTCAATTGTTACCATGGTTAACAACAAAAAATAATTATGGGCAGTGTAAGGGAACCTTAGTACTGCATATTATGTAGACCTTCCATCTCCCGATGATTTTAGATTAAGAACTAGCATCAGCTGTTTATTGCTTCAACAGTTTTTTAAAGCTCTCTTTTTCTTATTTCTCATTCTAAATGCACTGATGTTAAGTTTAACAGCTCCTTGCAGTGCTTCTACCAATTGTGGGATTAGGGGTTTTCTTCTGGTATGCTGGACGAGACATAGTTCAAAGCAGTGTAAGGAATTTTTAGGTTCTGGCTGTTTATTTCTATCACCATTTTCCATGTTTATAATAGAACAAGTTTAACTTTATCATGTTTAATTGTAGCTACATTATTTCATTAAGTTCAGCTGACAATTTCATTATTTCCAATTATTGACAAATGTTCTTTCATCTGTGTTTTTCTGATTATATCCTTCTTGCATACTCTTTGCTTTGCATTTGCAGTGCCCCAACTGTGGAAATGACTTCCAGATACTTAAGTAAGACTAGTGCAAGTTCTGTCTTTGAATAATTCAGTCACAACTTTATTTATGATTGTTATGCAATTGTTGATATTTACTTTTTGGTAATATGTGATCTTGTAGGTCTTCCTTGAATGATGGTGTACAGCTTTGTCCATTCTGCACCCAACCTTTTTCTGGTATGTTAACATCTTGAGCTCCTAAAGTTTTTATATGATTTAATAATTCATAATGGGCACAAATATGCTTCCTTAATATTTGATTATATATATGGAATATGGAGAAATGTGTAGCTATAGTAACATTGAAACAAGTTTTGATCAAACTTAAATCTGTCAAATATTATTCTCTACTTTTGTGAGATTTTAGCATGAAAAATATGAAACATATCATCATTTGCGCATGAATTAACTTTCAAACTTCAGGCACTTTTGGTTCTTAAGATTTGAACCAACTTCTCACGTTAAATCTCGGCTATAATTTATGTATTTATTTCTTGTCATCCAAACTTCATAAAATTTGTGTACTCTAGAGACGTGTTGCTGAAAAGATAAGGGGACTGCATAAGCTCTTAACATCCTGATAAATTGCAGTGCAGGGGAACAAGTTCGTAAGGGAAGCCGCAAAATTCTCTTCTGGACGGCCAAAAACATCTGAGCAGGTCTTCAAGGGCTTTTCACGTCACTCAGACATAGGTATCTTGTTACTTGCTTATCTCGTCACTGCCTATATTTAGGGGAGATTGACACATCTATCTATATATCTAGAAAAAAGATTTGTAAGGAACAGAACATGAAATGTTATTTTAAGTATGACCTCTTAATGCCTATATTTAAAATGTTATATTTTCTGCACTATTTGGAGTGTGAAATGGGTTGTTAGTATTTCCTAGGTATTGAAACTGTGTTTGGCTGTGTTCCCTTAATTGTATTTGATGGGACGTGTCACATAATTATTCCTTTTGTAGGTGGTCCTTGCATATGGACCATATAGTTATTACTTAGGTTATTGCACAAACATTAAGAATTTCCAATTAACTTTTGTTTTAAGACCTCATTGTTTCCTTTACATGAGACTATTAGAGTTATTGAAGATAATTTACATGAGCTATAAGGTTACTAGGTCTAAAGATATAAGCTGAATTATTTATCCTCTGCAATATTTAAATTACTGTACATACTACTTTGAAGTATTTTTCTTTTCTCCAATCACGAAATGATATCAATCAAATCATATAATGCCATGTCTTGATCAATATTAATGATAGTATATAGATGAAAAATGCTTAGTGAAACATCGGTGCCCTATAAGTAAGGCTGATTTTGCTCTCAAAGAAATTTTATTCTTGAGTTAACTTGCAGAAAAGCACCATTGCCAAGTTCATGCATTTAGCCTTCAGAAAATAAAACTATTAAACCAAGTGGCAATTACTTGTCATATTACATTTACATAATTGTCTCTTAGATGATAAGATAGCAGTGGAAATCCATTTCCAACAAAATGGAAGTAAGCTTTCACTGCTCTTCATTATTATATTGTCTTCTGTTTAAGTATTTGTATAAAATCATTTTTGATCCAATCTAGTCTAAATGAATTTCATTTAGTCTGCTTTTAAACCCTTGCACTTTTCATCAATTTCTTTTAACCCTTCTATCTCTAGCCAATAACCTGCTATTTCGAAAAAACTTGCTATTTCTGCATATACTGAAAGTATGGGGTATTTGAATAAGAATGAGTAACTTATGTGTTTCTTATGTATTTATGCACCACACAGACAAGGGCCCAAATAAATAACTAAAAACTTGTGTTTTTGTGCAGAGCACAGGTCAGCTTCTAGTCCTTTTATTGATCAGAATTCAATTTATATTTCAGTTTGGACAAGCCTAGATATATTTTGTTTGTTATTTGCATCCAAGTTTCCAACTGCCTTCACAATTGAATTCAAAATTGATCTTTTATGTGGTTTTGTTCAGTTTCATATACACATTAAAATTACATTATGGCCTTCGGTTGTTTATCTTGTGTTTATATGTGTGTGTGGGTGTGGGTGCAGACGCATGTGTGAGGTCTTAGTGGATGGTTATAATGTTGCTTATTTTGTAAGATAAAATTACGATATGCCTTCAATTTAATGTATGATGATCTATAAATGATTTTCTCAGGCAAAGCTTCCTCCACAGGAGTTGTTGATATTGAAGCTGAAGTGAAGGACATAGAGTGAATAGTAGTATGCCTTAATTTGCGAGGTAATTATTTTTTTCAGGTTTTACTGTACAATGAATTGGCATCCTTCACGTTTTTTATCCATTCGATGAGTATGGGCTTTTCCCCATGGACCAAAACCAAGCAATGACGACCAACTCTTTAGTTATGTAAAGCATTTAGGATGTATTAACTTTGATTTCCATCTCATAATTCAAACTCATAAAAAGATAAGGGTTAATTTGCATTTAGGCTCTCTGTTGTATCATATTTTTGAACCCATTTCCCACGTACTTTCATTTTGGCAGATAGCCCCTGAGTGAAAATTTTGTTACTTTTTTACCCTTAGTTATAGTTGCTCCTGTGCTTTTACATCTGAGTGACATTGTTTTTTACTTTCAGGGGTAAAAAAGTAACAAAAATCACGGGGTAATTAGTTAAAAATGGGTACTTACTGTGGTATGTGCAATTAACCCAATTATAAATGGAAAAAAGTGTTTGCTGAAGTTTGCAATTGGAGATAAATATATGTTATGGATTGGATAATCATCTGATCGTATTCTTAAAAGATGCATGTTGTTCTTTAGGTCAAGAACTATCCTACATGGTAAAAAGAGTTTGCTGAAGTTTGCAATTGGAGATATTCTTAAAATATCTCATTACATATAAACATGGACAAAAGAGTTTACTGAAGTTTGAATTAGAGATAAATATATATGTTATGGATTGGATAATCATCTGATCGTATTCTTAAAAGATGCATGTTGTTCTTTAGGTCAAGAACTATCCTACATGGTAAAAAGAGTTTGCTGAAGTTTGCAATTGGAGATATTCTTAAAATATCTCATTACATATAAACATGGACAAAAGAGTTTACTGAAGTTTGAATTAGAGATAAATATATATGTTATGGATTGGATAATCATCTGATCGTATTCTTAAAAGATGCATGTTGTTCTTTAGGTCAAGAACTATCCAACAACCGATTTACAAAATGATTAATATAACGACAGAGTATGCTCCTGGTGATCTAGCAACTCTTTTGGTTGGGCAAGCAATAATATGATGTATGCTTATTATTTCTGTTAAATTCCCCAGATTATAGTGTGTTTATCATGGTTTCAAGTAAAGACCATATCTGATGCAGCCGCAGTAGGTACCCTTTAAGATTTTTTTAATTGTTTTCTGCTGGAAATTGGTTTAAGTCCCTAATTTATAAATCTATTTGGACAAAGTGCCTTACTCAAAGAAGTTGTGTGGTAATACCTCCGAGTGTCAGATGTGCAGTGATTAAATATCCAAGTAGAACACGGGTTCTATTGGAGTAAGGAGTGTTCTTTAGTTTGTATCCGTGCCCGCTGAAAATTGAGGGAGCTAAGGTGTTGGATCGAGAAAATTAGAGAATAAATGAAGAGTATTGTTGAAATTTGCAGTGATTAGGTATTCAAGTAGAACACAGGGGTTCTATTGGAATGAGGAGTGTTACTTTAGTTTAGATCTATGCCCGCTGAAAGCCGAGAGGTCTAAGATGCTGGATCCAGAAAATTATTAAACAACCGGGTAGTACTGTTGAATTTTAGTTAAACACAGATAAAAGCCAGGGGCAAGAGTGTTTGAGCGAGTACTTTGTTTGACCAAAAGAGAGATTTATATAATCTCATTTTTTAGATTGACGGTAGCAAAAGTCAAGGGGGCTAAGATGCAAAGTCGATATAAATCATTTGGTTGAAAAGGAAAGTATGTTGACAGCATAGATGGACATTGGCTAGGGCAAATGATGCTATGATGCCAAGTTGACATAAATTGTTTAATGAAAGAGAAAAGCCCCAGTTTGGATCTCTCGAGTACAGGTAGGGTCTAGAGTGCGAAGCCGCAATAACTGGACAATGGGTAATTTAGAAAAAAAACATGTTGACAATTTAGATCGACATTGGCTAGAGCAGAGGGTGGTAGAATAACAAGTTCATGTAAATTGTATGGAAGAGGAAGTAGCATCTCAGATAGGATCATTCTTGTATATGGTCAAGGGGACTAGAGTGTGCATCCGAAAAACCTCAATTGTTTGCAACCCATTTGAGTCTTTTAGATTAATTTGGTTAAGTTGTTTTTATTGAAGGTACAAATATTATATGAGCTCTTCGTGAGTTTCTGTTACTATGTAATCTTTTGGATTTCCTTAATTTCTTATAAATGAAACATAGGGAGCTTCACCTCACTATTTTATCTCAAAAAAACTAAAAAATAAAAAAATAGCTTCTGGTCTTGAGGAAATTGGGAACCCTTGAGGTTATTTTACCAGCATCTTAATATTGAGTTAAATTTGGTTAGTTCCACTTGGATCCTCTGTAGTATTGGTCATGCCACTTATTACTCATTAAGTTTGATTTTGGCATGTAGACCCCCTAAATGAGATATTTTTTTACTCTTTTATTCTCAAGGGATCATCTGTCAAAAAGAGAAAAGAATAATTTTCTCCTCTGTTCGTCTCTCTCGCCCTCTCTCCAGTTCACCTGTTCACCTACAGTGTTACGTACCCACCTACACTCCCCCCTAACCACCCCCACCCCGCCCATCCATCTATCCAACACCACCCTTTCTACTAGTGAGGACATGCATGTCTTTGTAGAGGCAGGGAGCCAAGCTTCTATGGATGTTATTGTAGACATGATAAAAAAGCTTTCAATCCCAGTGGAAGAGGAAAGCGACATACATAAAATCACCCAGCTAAGAGAGCTAGCTGAGAAAAATCAATTAGTGAAAGAAAAAAAGAGTTATTGAAGAAACGTTAAAGAGGGGATGAGATATTAATAAAGAGCTAGATCTGAGAATTGGCAACTCGTCTGAAGCAGCCAAGATCATTGGATATCTCCCATTAGAACTATACTTGCACTGGAAATAGATGAACATATAAGAATAACAATCACCCCCACCCTTAAACTAATTATTCTCTCTCATCAAGAAGCCAAAGGAGAGTGAGGGAAAGAAAGTTGTGTAACTGTTCCTTTCTATACAAAGAACTAGAAGTATAGTTGGGTGGTTTTGGTTGAGGACAATTTGCAGTTACTAATTGATAACCATTAGCTGATTGATTTTTTTTCGAGCTAGCTCTCCTCAATGGATGAGTTTATATGTCTTGTATTCCTCTTTCACTAGGATTCAAAGCTTTTTTATAGTATCTATAATAATATTTATAGAAGTTTTGCTCTGTGCCTCTACAAAGACATAAATGTCCTAATTAGTAAAGCGAACATGCTGTGTAGTTAGATAGATATGTGAAAAGTAAGGGGATTTGAGTGTGTGGATGGGTGAAAGGGAGGGAGAGGGGAAAAAGAAAATTGTTTGTGGCTGATAGGGTCCACAAGGTAAAAGAGTCAAAAGTATTTCACGCAGGGAGTCTTATCTTCCAAAATCAAATTTACATGTTAATAAGTGACAACACAACAACACGATAGGATCTGTGAGCAATTGACCATTTTAACATTTATGCTAAAATGTGTCATATTTGTCCATACATAAAACTCTTATTTAAATTGAACAATAAAAAAACTCCTTAATATATTATATATATATATATATATATATATATATATATATATATACTAGTATGATATATAGACCGAGAGAGAGCATTGGAGACGCAATTGAAGAGCAGAGAGAGCAGAGAAATGGGAAATGCTTTGGTACCAAGCCACAAATTTTATGCTTGGTAGTGATGTGTCACATCCTCATCCACTCACTACCCATGTGAATGTGGTCTCATATTTGAATGAGTGGAGAGGGATGTGACACATCACTACCAAGCACAACTTTTTGTGCTTGGTACCAAGCATACCCATATTGCTCATATATATATATATATAGAAAAACTATCGTAAATGAGTATACAATGCATAATGATTTTTTTACTATCGTAAATGAGTATACAATGCATAATGATTTTTTTGGAACAAATATTAGAGCTTAGTAATTTTTAGTGCAAATTCTTATTGGTACATGACAACATTTTGCTTTACTATATATTATACTATGTTATTTTTGCACAATCGTACTTTTTAATAGATGTATAATGAAACATTTTACTTTCATTATAAGCTGAGAAAAATGGAAGGACGGGTAAAAAGAGGGAGATGTAATTGGAGAGAAAAAAATTCTATGGATAAAATTTTGAATTTTCCTACAAACCGTTAATTGAACTACAAGTATTTTGAGCGAAGTAATATTAAAATATGAGTAGTGATAACTACATGCTATTTTTACACTACAAGGGAGAAAAATGTGGGGTCTATTGTTTAACTTTTTTCAAAATTGATGACTCATCAAGAGAGCCCACGCTCCTGAGTCCTCTCTTTTGTAGTGTGCAAGTGTGGGAGAGAGTAGTATAATTATAATTATTCTTAAAACGTAGGTAAATGTTAATGAAATTTTCCAACTTCTTTTTGGAACTCATTGATATGGCTTTGAAACTTTTTTGAACAAGGGCTTAATTAAAATATATATATATATAAACAAGGGGCGTAAATTCAAATCCTCTATCTTTGTCTATTAACTCGTAATTATCACCGCGGTTGGGGGAACCGTCTCTTAACAAAATGCTTGCCTCTATTTATTTTCTGATCTTTATCATACCTACTGCTAGCAAATTTGGTTTATCAGAATCAGGCAAGAGCGATGCAAATGATTCCCTTGGGTTTCTACTATTCATTGTGTCGAAGCTGTGTTTTCTAAATTTCGACTTCAATATCCTGATATATTGCCGGAGAAGTAACGCGGCTCAAATGTTCAAGTTCTGGCGACTTTCATACAGTTCAGATCAACTATTGAAATTATTGCTGATGGCTTGGCCTCCTACCTACCTTGCGTGTAACTTGCATATTTTTATTAGTTTAGTTACCTAGGCATCGCTGTAGTTGGAATTGTATTCTGTAAATAATTTTGTTAAAATCACTGATGATTTTGTAAGTGAATTATTGGATGTACCAGTTTAGACGTTAAGTTGTGATTCTGTATGATATGGATATGACGTGAGGATTGAGAATAAAAGCATGTTTGGGAATTATGGATTTTAAGCCATTTCGATTATAATCCACAGATGGATTATAATTCAATGAATCATAATATAAAGTATTTGATAAATGTAGTAGATTATAATTCATTTTTAATAGTAGAGCATTTGCTAGCAAATGGTGAATATAAAACATCATTACGGAGTTGGTGGTGAGTTACTACTGAATAAGGCCTTGGATTTTGTAGTATCACAAGTATCATGGTTTATAATCCATTGAAAAATAAGTTCGTGGTATCCTATATTTTTTTTTTGTTGGATTATATGTGGCGAAGTAACAAATTTGCCAAAAATGCTCCAACAAACTAGAAAGAGCAACGAAATATTTACTGGAGTTTTAGCACACAGGCTTTAAAGATTCGACGGATATATCTCATCTTTGTAGCGGCGAGACCAAATATTAGTCAACATCCATTTATTAAAAGAAAAAACCACTCGACTTCACTAGTTCCCGGAGAATACTCATTTTCCCTTCGCCTCCCATGGTAAAGGAAAAACACCTGCATTATGAAAGAAAGAAATTGGTTTTGATGGCAGAACCATAGGGAGAATATTATGTCGCTGCCTAGAGATATTTTCTGCTAATGTCGACAATACTCTCAGGAGGAAAATAGTCTTGGATGATCTATTTTTGCCCGTTCAAAAATAGATAAACAAACAGTTAAAAAGAGGCCTAACATACGTACCCTGCCCGGTCCATTTTCTCTTTGTACTTGTAACAGACCTATTGATATTTCCCTTTTCTCATAATTATCATACCATCAACTAAAATCCAAATGTCCGTAAAGGGGAATGCAAGTAAATTATTATTTGCAGTTTATGCATTGCGAGCTCTAAGAGCTATACAAGCATTTGCAGTACCATTCATGGCAACTCATCAGGGGGGAAAATCAGGGAGAAAATATGGTTACATCAAAATACAATGCCCATACAACAAAGAAAAATATATATATCAGCATCCCTTCATCCAAAGTTATGCATAAAACACAACACAGTCGATGAACTTTAAAAGGTTAAGGCATCTTCTTGGAGGTGCTACCGTACTTTGGCAAAAGGCTTATTTCTCAAATAATTCTTCGGTAACCTCTTGTGACCACCAGAATTTAACTCGCAGCAGCTGGAATCACCTGTGACAATTGAAAGAAATAACTAAATTTGATATGAAGCTGAGAACAGCAATAAAACTTCCTTATATTATAAAGATAGTTTGTAAAGAACTTCCTTATATTATAAGGTTAATTGCATAGACCCCCTGCAGTATTGCTGTTCTCAACATACTACTTCTGTAGTTTCATTGTTCCAGGTAATCCCCCTGGGTTAAATTTTTTTACTCTTTTACCCTTCATGGAATTTTGACAGATATTGCTCAAGTAAAATTAGTGAGTGCATTTGAGGGTAAAAGAGTCAAAAAGTTAACCTAAGGGTTTGTCTGCTACAATGAAACTGCAGGGGTGCTAAGTTCAAATCAGCAATACTACAGGGGTCCATGTGCAGTAACCTATTACATATCGACATAGCAGATAGCCCAATAAAGTTTGATCAAGGCACTTTTGCGTTAGGCAATCCTTCAACACTTCCAAGTAGGCCTACATACTATGCAGCGACACTTAATCGTTCATGCAACCATTTCAACCTCCTTAAAGACTAGAATTGCATCAAGACAAAAAGGGTAAGAGAAAATGTATTATTTAGCAAATTATTCATCTCTTCATCCTGAAGGCTCATATGCTCCAATGGATAAGTAAGACTTTAAGATTGTCAAGAACAGGTGAAGCATGTTATAGTAAATATCCTCAAAAGGAAAATAAATAAGGAAAACGCTGTTGGAGCCAACATAGGGAAGGAATGTGTAAAATGGAATCAAAATATTTAGTGTCGGGGACATCCAAGAACCTAAAGTTCTAAAGTGTCTGATCTCCAGGGCATTTGCTATCCATTTCAGCTGAGACTCGTGCTTGCAACTAAAGCTAGTTATCTGTGAAAAAGATAACCTCGTTCCAGTGATTTCCTAATTATTGCTTTACAGATTCTTTTAATCACTTGTGCTTGTGAAGGTTCATAATTTCACCACATAAGAAGACCTAAAACAGTTTCAAAGATCTAAAAAAGTACGGTTCTACCAATAAAATTACTCCAATCTGCATTACTAATCGTGCAAATTAGTGGGGAAAAAATGCAGCTTCAAAGCTCAAGTTGAGATGCATACCTCATCTTTCTTGTCATTCTTTCCACCGAATACCTTGAATCCACCATAAATTAGCAGACCCCATCCACTTAAACTGGCTAACACGAACTGCAAGAAATTCAAAATGACGCATAATTGACTACCCATCACAGATTCACAATGTAAAAAGGCAAGTTTAAATTCAAAATGTATTAATAAAAACTATGAGAATAATGACTGAGTAACAATTATTAAATAAAGGGTTAAGTATAGATAAACCCTTTGTAGTCTCACCTGATTGCAGATTAACTCCCTGTAGTTCTATTTGTGCTAATAGACCCCAATTGCTAAACTTTTTGTACTCTTAAAAAAGTCAAAAAAGAGCAATGATGGGGTTTATCCGCACTTGGCCAAATACTATAGGGGGTCTATCCGCACAAATAAAACTAAAAGGGCTCTATCTGCAAGTCGGCGATACTACAGGGGGTCTATTGCAATTAACCCTTAAACAAAAGAGGGGTTTCAATAGTTGCCATCCCTTCACATAACTTCAATGGATAAGCTGTATACAAATTGCCCAAAAATAGAATGTCAAGGCTATTCAAGAATTAATCTCCATTAATTTAAAGCAAGCTATGATGAACTTTTGTATATTGTCATCAATTCCAAGTAAGCTTATAGCCGCAAGTGGTAAAAACTGTCAAATGTTCTTAACTTTCTGACATCCTCCATAATCGATCATGTTTTAAAAGAAAGGAAAGGCGTCTATGATGATGACAATTAAACTTCGAGCAGGAAGATGCAAATGTAAATTAGAATCCAATGAATGACAAAGTAATATATTTCAAGCTTTCCAGTTAAACTCTATAATGTGCACATGCAACTTGATATAGCTTTCTGAACTGGGTTTATGAAGTCTGTAAAAGAAACTCCTAATTTGTACCTTGACTAGTTGACTGCGATGATATTGAAGGCAGTGAAACCCCGAGTGAGCTCCAAAAGTTTTGGAACTGCAGCTTTTTCCGGGCAAGTATTTGAAGTTGGAGGACCCCAGCGTCCAACAGATATTTCTCTCTACAATTATGGTTTACAAACTTACTCTTTCTTCAGTTTGTGTACTCATTTAGAAATGAAAGAAACCACAGTTTTTACGTATATACTAACTCTAGCTTGTAAGCAACTCAAACTAAACATAACTTCAAGGAACTTTGTTGCCAAAGCTTCGTCTTCTGATGCATCATGCTCAGGAATTAAGCCTACCACAGATAGGCAATGCATGCCAGCTTAGATAGCAGAAAATTTTGAACTGTTGTGTTAGTTGATGCTTCATATATGAAAATACTCATGAACCTTATCACTAGAATAACTTTCACAGGTTGCATATCTTTGAAAAGTTTTAAATAATATTACATCAGCTATATTTAATTGCAGGTGATACAGCACTTTTTCAAGTCATAATTATCTGTAGATGAGAACTTCTGGACCCCAGGCAGCTGTATTGCACACGTCCTTTATTTTCTGCTTAACCAGGTGTGAAGTTTCTGCCAGTTTTAGTATCACAATTTTCTGCATGATCCAATGGATCAATGCATTTACTCTCATGTTCTATTCTATATATACTGGGACACTCCAACCACACACACTCGCACAAAAACACACAATGTAAAACTACATTCTGCAGCTAGTCATATACGCAAGGTCTGGTTAGTAAAATTTGATCTTATAAGTGATGTCATCTGATGTGCAGTATTAGCTCTTACATAACTCAAGGGGGTCACTCCTGTTACTTGGAGAGGGAAAATGACAAGCAAGCACTGTTCCACATGTTGAGATCTGCGCCTAGAAATCCTATATTGAAATGCATCCAGAAATAGTTCCTAACACACCCTTTGATTGTAGTTTGATTTTTCTCTGCAGTCTCAAAAAAAAATTTGCTCAAGCTTTTCACCAAAAGGATTTTGAAAAAGTTGAGGTGATGTGGCATTATAAGAGGTAACAGTCACATTAATTTCACACCTTCTAACATATAAATTTAGTTTTTCAGACATGAAGCCTTTTCTGCAATAAAGTAACCAAACTCATATATTAGTGTTGACATACATCACCAAAGGAAACAACACTTGTCCTTGGAAAATAGATCTCTCTTAAAGCTTAAATTATGCATGTAAAGGTTCAGAATGGAAAGGGCACTATATGATATTGAGAAACTGTAGAGGTTGATGAATGATAAGTGGTGATAATGTTAAAAATATCAAAGCGTGCAGCGGTTTTTTTGACTTCTCAATGGCTGAAAGTGTAAATAACATACTATATAGTATATAGGTAAGCTGCATAGTTATTTACCTTAAGATAAGATAACAAAAAAACATCCAACAAGAAAGCAGATAGGAAGTGTTAAAGATATTAAAATAATGATTTACATCACGTTAATTTCACACCTTCTAACATATAAATTTAAAGTCTAAATTATGCATGTGAAGGTTCAGAATGGAAAGGGCACTATAGGAAAATATTGAAAACTGTAGAGGTTGATGAATGAAACAGCATGAGGTGGTGATAATGTTAAAAATATCAAAAGCGTGCAGCGGCTTTTTTTTAAAATTTCTCAATGGATGAAAGTGTAATATCATAATATATAGATGAGCTGCATAGTTATTTAGCTTTAAATAAGATAAATAAAAAAGCATCCAACAAGAAAGCAGATAAGAAGTGTTAAAAGATATTAAAAAATAATCTAAGTTTCTTAAGTGGACAAAAACAAAGACGTATTCCGAACAATGCACCAAAAACAAGTGGAAGAAGTATCATGTATGATGTGGTGCCCACAGGACAGGGCTTCATAATGGAAGTGTCTATGCTTCCAAGGTATAGGATTACCTTGTTGTTCCCGATTCACAGCGCAAGGCTCACCAGCTTCAGGTTAAATTCCACGCATGTAAACTTTTTCCTACTATTCTCAGATTATCCAATTTATTCATCTACATTCAACCTATGTGTAAAAGGATCCCAGTTGAGGCTGATGAATGTAGATTTCCTGACACATATCCACATATTCCACACCAATAGATGAACGATCTATTTGGCAATACTTATATTAGATTAAGACATTAAGTGGTTGCACCAAAGATTCTTCCTGAAAAAAAATATTATAAGTGCACGGATAATCCTTTTCCTTAGTTATAGCTCTAAGTGTTCAAACACTCATTGACAGGTTTGCAAAGCCTGCTAGTAGGGGTGAGCACAGTTTGGCTCACACCGACTTAACCGACCAAACTGCCCAAACTTTGGCAGTTCGGTTTGGTTCTACATTGAATTGGGGTCAGTTTGGGTTGAACAAAATTAAACCCGTGCGGGCACCGACCGAGGTTTTCAAGGTGAATGGGTTTGGGTTATACAGTTATAGGGTTTTAAATAGTCATATCCTGATTGACTCTCATCCAATCATGTTCAGATAATGTTTTCCTTTCATAACACAATCATGGTTTATTGAACTCCTAAGTATTAGCAACAGAATGAAGAACCATTTGTCTTCCTCTCTTCTTCTCTGACGTCTCTTTGAGTCCCTGCACATCTCATCATCTCCAACCATGTTCCCAATCCTTCGACTTCAGATTTGACTTCAGACCAAAACCAAAAACTAACCAATGTCAGAGCAACCCCTTCTCAACATACATCTTCAACTTCATATTTGCTTGGTGGAGGTATAGTGCTTTTGTTGTGAGCAATTCCTTATCATCAATATTCATCACCATGCATAATGAAATTATAAAACTTTTGTTCCTAAAGGACTTGGATGGAGTTTCTAAAGAGAAATAAGAAGGTGGAGTTAGTATTTGTTTCTATTTGCTTTCTTGAACTCAGACGGATTGGTTTTGGTATAGAGGAATTATTTAAAATCCTGATTGAACGAGACAACTTAAGAGGTGGTTTTAGTGAGAACAGGTGTTGTCTCTATATAATTTCTTGAATAAAATATTTTTAAGGTGAATTTTATAGTGAGAAACTCCTTTGCTTTTGTTCAATAGAATATTAAAAATCTACAGATCTTCAAGAATCGCTAATCGAATACAATTAGAAATTGGTGCATTCAATTAAAGGTTCCTAATTTGTGGCTTTGAATTTGAGACATAATTTATATTTTAATAACCTGGATTATGTATCATCTTAAAATCTTGGATTATGTATCACCATGTTGATTACATAATTTATATCTTAAAATCTTGGATTATGTATCATCATGTTGATTCGTTGGTTGTTGTTGTATGTTGATTCGTTGGTTTGGTTTGCATAAAAAGTATCGTGAGAAACAACAGTAGTTGCTACATCGGGTGCTTGTCCCTTGGTAACCACCAATAAAATCAGGCTGTTATATTCTGAGTTTGCTAAATATAATGGATTGTAGTTTGACACGTCATATGCTTCAGCTTCTAGTTAAAACTGATATAACCAAGTCCGCAATGACCCAAACAGCTGCAGTTCAGTGCGGTTCTGAAGTCAAAGTCAGTTTTAGTTTGGCCAAGTTCGGCCAAAACCGAGCTGACCAACTGAATGCTCAGCCCTACCTGCTAGATAAGCCCTAACATGAAATTCCAAACTATTTAATCGTTTGTCCCTTTGGTTGGGTTTAAAGTACTAACTCTTGATTAAGAAGAACCCCAAATTGTTCTAACTCTTTACACAAGTATGGGATGATTGAGAGTAGTGCGAAAATCAAGGTGGATGAATAATAGATTACAATAAACAAGTTGTATTTATGGTATTTTCAAACCAAGAAAGCCTTTGGTAATTTAATCTTGATAGAGTTAGACATCTAACATGAAAGAAATTACAGATGATGAACAGTTTCTCAAAGTTCTCTTCAAATTTGATTCGGAAGAAATAGAAAATTACATTAAAAAAATGGCGCCCATATATACATATTATTCAAAGCCATTTAGTCTAACTTCAAAAGCAATTTCCACTTAACTTAACCCTACGGCTCTATACTAAGAGCTTGAATGAATATAAATACGAAAGGATGCAACAAATTGAAATCTCTAACCTACTAATACTATTCATTTTTTAATTACCACAAATGAGTAGAATTACGTGAATTAAAAACTGTATGAGAGGAACCTGCTAGATCTTTTCCTCAAGTAGAACAACACTTTTATGCTGAATCACAGAAAAAATCCATCATTACCGAGTTCCTGACTAACATAAAAGCTTTGGACACCGGGATATTAAAATGTTTGTTCGAAGAACAATTTTTCAAAACAGCCCCATTTCATTTTTTTTATTTTTAAAATCGACCCATTTTTTTTATTTATCAAAACCGACCCGTTTTTTGCCACGTCAGCCTAATCACCCTCCTAAACAGTCGGGGTTGCCAACCCCAACTATTTAGGAGGGTGTTAAACCCCAATTATAAGCCTTAAACCCTAAAATTTTATGTCCTAAATAGTCGGGGTTGGCAACCCGACTGTTTAGTAGGGTGATTAGGCTGACGTGGTAAAAAACGGGTCGGTTTTGGTAAATAAAAAAATGGGTCGATTTTAAAAATAAAAAAATGAAATGGGGCTGTTTTGAAAAATTGTTCTTGTTCGAAATACTGGATCCACATATGTATACTAACGCCAAATAGTAATTACCTTGAATCTGCTATTACTGGAAAATAATTCTCATTTCAAGATTTGCTACATAAAAAAAAACTGCAAAAACAAATAATTGAAAAAAAGGAGGGAAGAAAATTTTACATGCTCCTCTTTCCATTTGGATGGGCTCATTGGATCTTCCCAGATGTTAATCCGTGGGGGTCCATGATGATCTACCAAAAGAAAACACACAAATAAGTTACCAAAAAAGGAAACCCTAAAACCTAAATTTATGATGATGATACCAAGAACTAATTCTAACACATAAAATTCACAGGCGATCCAGCGAGCAGCAGATCTTGTAATTGTAAGGACCCAAGTATCTCAATCAAGTCCCAGATCCAAGATAGAATGTTAATACAAAGCGAAAACATATGAAACGCGGAAGGGTCTTTTAAGGAAATCGTTTTTGAGGCGGGGGCAAAATGTAAGTTTAACAGCGGCGCCGGCGAGGCCGGACGAGGGCGAGGTTGGCCCGTGGCGAGCGAGAAGAGAGGCGGAGGGGATGAAGCGAGCGCTGCACGCTGCTGCCATGGCTGCTCACGAACGAGATTACGTTGATCGGGGGGGAAAATAGACCTGATCTAGGGATTTTTGCCTAATATTTGATTTTTGAGGAGATGGAGAATTTTGCGCAGCTACCCCTATGAAATTCTCCTTTGCCTCAGAATTGTTTAATAATTTAGGTTGTGTTTAGCAAAAGAGCTTTGCTACAGTGACCCAAAATATGGGACCAATAGGGGGGACAAGTGAGGTGTCCCCCTCCTATTGGATAATGAGTTGGCCATCATTAATGATGGCCAACTCATTATCCAATAGGAGGGGGACACCTCACTTGTCCCACCTATTGGTCCCATATTTTGGGTCCTTAAGGAATTTTTCTCAGCGAAATAATAAAAAATAGGTCAAGACGAGTCCTGACGCAGTCTTATTCTAAACTGATTTTAGGTTAGACCGTGAGCTGGTCCTAACTAAAACTGGTTTAAAAGGCTTTTTTAGCTTACGAAAATAGGGCTAACATTGGCCCAATTTTTTACCAATCTGCAAAGCATTTAATGCTGGGCCAGGTTAAGTTCTAGCCCAGTTAACCTGACCCACTTTTGAAGGTTTGCTAAACATACCCTCACTATGTATGTCTTTAATTTCTGCCTTTATTTAGTTTACTTGCTAGTAAGATACTAAACTTTCAAGTTGTAATAAATTAATTACGATCCACGACCTCCACTATACGTTCAAGAATTGGAGTTTAGTTAAATCTATACTACTTATAAAAGAGAATATTCATGTCAAAACTTTTGATTTCCTTTTTTAATAATAGTATAAATATAAATATGGGTTATTTATAACTTTTAATAATAGTATAAATATGGGTTATTTATTTATGTTGTAAAGAATATTACCTTATTCGATAATTAATATCATCTTAGTAATAAAAATTTGGTTTTTATAAGTTAAAAATACTTTTATTTTAGAAAATTAATGTATATAAAAAATTTGGATCCTTTAAATTTATGAGACATATATTTTTCTCTTCTTTTCTTCAAAATATTTGGCCACTCGCTAGAATATTCTAATAATTTATAATGATAATAAAATTAATAAATATATTATAATTTAATATAAAATAATTATTAATTTTAATGAAATAGTAAAATTATTTATTTAATAAAATATTGTACATAATTATAATTATTAATAATATTATAAATAGGATTTTTTATATTATAACGATTATTACCCTTTATGATATTATAATATCGTCTTAGACATAAAAATTGGACATTATAAACATAGTGCGATAAAATATTGGATCTTTGTAATTTATGAGTCATGCACTTTTTGTTGGAAAGTAAATGTCTCATATATTTCAAGGATCCAATATTTTATATAAATTATTTTTTCTAAATAATAGTATTTTTAATTTATACCATCCAAATTTTTATTACTAAGATGATATTAATTATTAAACAATGTAATATTCTTTACAACATAATGTCATATAATATTTAAAATTATTTCCATTATTTAATAGATATTGTAATAAAATATGTACATGACATAAATATTTAATAATTTAAATGGTTTAATTATATCAATAGTGTTACTTAAACTAATGATTACATTATTATTTAATAATTATACTCCTAAATAATTGTTTAATAGTATAATAAAAAAAATTAAATAACTATTAAATGTATGTTAATAATATTATAAGTACTAATATTAGTATAAGTTAAAAAAATTAATCATAGTACAATAAAATATTTTTTAATGGTTATATATAATTTATTAAATAATATAATATTAAATACAACAATATATCCACGTGCAAAGCACGTGCATTATACTAGTTAGAATTAAGAAATTTTTAACCTGAAAGGACTTATTTAAGAGAACATTACAAGGAGCCGATATATGCTTGGAGCTCATAATAATGGCAGAAGATAGATTGGTTCTTCAATAATAAATAATTGTCCGTTACTCATCTAAGAAACAATTATCATTTAATATTAACGGGAAACAAAAATGAATATTGTTGACGTTACGCTAAGAATGAATCGCAAAATCATCGGAATGATTAAGATCAGCAAATGATATTTCCGCTGCAAAAGTAGAAGTGGCCGGGATCCGTATCCCTGTCTACACCAAAACTTTAGTTTAGTTTCAGGCCAAAAATCAGTCAGAAATTCTTGTCATTTAATTTAGGATAGATAATGATGGGTGGAGACTAGGGTAAGGGGTGTCAATTAAGCCAGAGAAAAATATACGATTGAGAGATTTTATTTGAATTATTGTGTCAGCTAAATGCTGACTGAATTAGAATGGGCAGGTCTTCGAAGTAGCTAGGACCTTGGCCTGAATGTAGCCTGGCTTTGGGCTGAAGGATTGTATCTGAACTTAGACCCTGTTTGGATTGATGGTAATGGGGGTGAGGGGAAGGGATGGTAACTTTTATTTTTTGTTTGGGAAGTATATATAGCAAGTTAATAGGGGTGAGGGGAGGGGAAAGGAGGTGAGAAAATACCATGATTCCCCCCCCCCCCCCCCCCCCCCCCCCCTCGAAGGTAAAGAGGGGGAATACAACAAATGTAGAGAGACATATTTACCCCTAGCTAAGATCAAAATCCAACGACTAAAATTTGCTCACAGAAACCCCACAGTATAAACTCTCGTTGCAAGCGCCTCCGCCATTTCTTCTTCCTCCGCGTCTCATCTTGCCTCCGCGTCTTGTCTCGCCTCAATCTCTAGCCTAGTTTGTGCAAGGGTTTTGTTTTTTCAAGGTAAGATTTTCTCTCCTGTTACTGAACCTGCATGACTTGGCCTTGGATAACTCAACGAAATTGAAGAAATGAGTGAAAGCGGTTAAAGTTTTGTTCTTCCTCCCTTCTTTGAAGGGGTCTTATGTCAATTGTGGAGAGAATACGAGCATAAATAGCTACTTTGTGGAAAAAAGGTTTTATTTTATTTCTCCGTAATGCTTCATTGGAATATTTTTCACGGGGATGTTGGTTAATGAGGTTGATGCTAGATAGTATTAATAAACGCAATTTGTTTTTTTAGTTTATGTTGATGAATTTACCTTGTATCATCCAAACTGAGCTTATTTGATGGAGCAATAAAATTTGTAAAAGACTGTTCAAAATTGGGGATTTTTGCAGCTTGAATGACAAGTGTTATAGTAGTTTTGTGTTCGTGTAGGTATTTGAGTTTCATCATTTAGTTGGTCGTTGCTTTGCTAACTGGGTATACTTGCAAAAGAAGAGTGAAAATAAGCTTTGTATTGTTTTGTAGTCTCATCGATGAATATATTGGTTATTATTTTTCATTCCAACTATACTCTAAATTTTTTTATATTTATCTGATTTGTGTTGATTGTGGATATACAATGTGGAAGGAGATGATGACAATAATAATATATAGCAATAGATGCATATTTAATATTTAATTTCTAACAACTATATAACTTAATAATATGTGAGGGTATTTATGTCAATTTATATACATTCCTTTCCCTTCTCTTCCCGTTATTATACTTTTCAAACGGGGTGAAATAACTTCCCCTTGATTCACCTTACTAGTTTCCCAAACAAGTTTTAGAAATTCCCTTCCATTCCCTTAACTTAACTTCCCCTAGGTTCCCCTAACTTCCCTTCACCCCCATTACACCCCAAAAATCCTGGTGCATTTGACTTGTAAAATTAGAGAGTAAAACTTTCCTTTTATTTTGCACTGACAACCTTAAGACCAAGAGCCATTCAATTATGTCCATGCTCTAATGGCATTCATCCAAACCGATCAAAAGCTCAGCATAAAATCTTATATGTTTCTCTGCAGGTCAATCATCCTTTATAATAATTTCTTTAAGGGAAAAAAAAGAAAGAAAAATAAAACAAAGATCAAGAATAAAAATGGAAATTGCAAGGTGGTAAGCATTCGGATACTCCTCTTCGTGGCAATTCGCATGATTGCACTGTCATCTATAAGGCAATTCGCATGATTGCACTATCATCTATAAGGCAACCTCGGATGCAAGGGGCAGAGCTACATGCTCTCTTAGGGAGGACCTGTGTTGGATAGCAGGTTCCTAATATGTTTTCTAATTTGTTTTGGTAACAGGTTATTGGGATTTCTAATCTGTTTTGGTAACATGATTCTAAATCTGTTTTGATAATAGGTTATTAGGATTCCTAATCTGTTTTATTTTTTATTTTAGAATTTCTAGTATGTTTATGAGTTTAGGATTTCTATATATATGGAACAATTGGAAGAGAGAATGGAGAAGAAAATTGGGGATATTTGGAGCACAGAAAAGATGTATTTTCTGAGCTATTGGTTAGGGTTTTGTTTGGAGAGAATTAGAGATTTGTTGGTGAGATTAATTGGTGAGTTTGAGTGATTTGTAATCTGAGTTTGTACTCTTCTTCTCTATTAGTAAAAAACCTTACCCCCTGTAGGGTGAATATTTGATTTCCCGAAAAAGGGAGTTTCGTTTGTATTTATAAGAAAGCTTATTA